AGAGAACAGGATTTGAGAGTTGTGGCGGCACAGTGGTTAGAATGTGGCATTGCAGGCTAACTCTGCATTCCACTGCCAGGAGTTTGATTCTGACCTGCTCATAAGTCAAAGTCAATGGGGAAACCAGATTCACTTAACAACCTTGTTACTAATTTAACAATTGCAGTGATTGTTGACTCGGCCTTCCATCCTTCAGAGGTCAGTAAAATGAGGATTCAGATTGTTTAGGGCAATATGCTGACTCTGTAAACCGCTTAGAGAGATCTGTAAAGCACTATGAAGCGGTATATAAGTCTAAGTGCTATTGCTATTTGAGGGAATGCACTGCCAGATATCGTGTGATAGCTCTTGTTTTGTGAACTGGAAACATCCATCTCTTTCCTTTAGGCTCATTCTGTGTCATTAGCTCTCTACCAGAAATTCAGCCCTGAAGTTGGATCTGCAGCATTATTCCTGGGAAAGGCTTATGCTGCCACAGGAGAAGAGAAGCACATTGGTAATTATGTAGTAAAGCCATCCGATAAATATTTATTTATAGTCCTTGTCTTTTTAAAAATAATTCAAGGTGGTAAACATATGATGGCAGCAGCAGAGGAGGACCCTTCTGATTAATGTTTTCAGTAACTAGGTAGGTTCTTTGATTGTTTCTAGTAGATTAAGAAGAAAACAAGCTATGAGTGAGAAATTTACAGCCCAATAAGAACTGGTTCAAAGCTGCCAAGGACACTGACTTCAGCTTTGGTGACTTCCAAATGCATTATAATAGGAAAATCACACTTCTTGAATATTTCAATGAGCATTAACAAGATCATACTAAGAAATTAAGGGATATTACGTGTTACATGCTAAAGCTTCTGTGCATATACCTAATGCCAGAGATGTGTCAGAATGACTATAACCCAGTGATGGTGAACCTTTTAGAGACCGAGTGCCCAAACTGCAACCCAAAACCCACTTATTTATCGCTGGGTGCCAGGTGGGCGTGGCCCACTGGATGGGCGTGGCTGTGGTGGTCATGGCAGATTGGGTGGGTGTGGCCAAGGTGGGCGTGATCACCTCAATGTTGCTCGTGGGGAGGGACGCCTGTGGGGGCCGGGCAGGGTTGGGGGAGATCCAGGTGGTCTCTGGCAGGTGGGGCGGTGGGCAGGAGGCTTGTCCTGCAGGGTGAGGCGAGGCAAGGTAAGGCAGGGCGGGGGTGCCATTGTCACAGGGCAAGGTGAGGCAGGGGCCGGGGCGGCTGCTGCCTGACACCATCGGCCCCTGCATACAGAGACCAGCGAGCACATGGGTGCTGGGATGCATCCAGCCATGTGGGACCTCGGCGAGTTAGTGGGCGGCTGGTTAAAGAGGGACAGTTGCCATCTCCGGAGCATGGCGAGCATGCCCATAGAGAGGGCTCTGAGTGTCACCTCTGGCACGCGTGCCATAGGTTCGCCACCACTGCTATAACCAATCAAGCTGACTGACTCCAAAGCCAAGTTGCTGTTCCTTTGGCTGAGTGGCCAGTGAGGCATCCTCTCTACTTACGTAAATAAATAAAAAACAATTTTAATCTACCTTTCTGGCTTAGAGTCTGTTTGGGCAAGGCACACTAGGCTAACAAACCTGCTAAGACTTTACAACTAATTCATACTTAATACTCCTTTCTCCTCCTGTCTCCTGGCTGTGTGCAAGATTGGTTGGACAATACCTGGCTGCTATGTGTTTCATTTTCATTTTTATTTTATCTTGTGTATTTTATTGTAAACTACCTAGAGTCATGTAGAAGTGAGATAGGCAGCTACATAAACCAAAGGAATGAATCGATAAATTTGTGCTTCTGTGGCGTAACAAAATGACATGGAATAAAAGAAGGAAAGTGAAATTTAACTTAATCCATACAACTTCCTTGTCCTGATTTGTTTTTCAAGATACATTTCATACCAAATACACCACATTTGTTTTCCTAGAGGCCGCTGAAAGGTATTTCAACGAGAGCTTGGTAACCTACAAGGAAGCATTAGGAATGGACCATCCTCAGACAATCAGTGCCCTTAAAGTCTTCAGCAAGTGGCTTGGGCAAATAGGAAAAAGAAAGGTAAACCAGATATCTGATGGGATATACAGTTGTGTAACTTTTGGCCATGCAAAGGCTGCATGGAAGGACAGAAGGCCACATAGCCAACAATAATAATCAGCTTGGAGGGATAAGATGGATTTTCCCCCCGACTGTATTAGCAACTGGGATGAGGGGCTTGTACCAAGGAGGAAGATCACAGCTGTGTTGGGAAGAGTTATTCTCCTGGGGGGAAACTTACCTTTTTGCCAAGCATTATGGATAAATAACTCCTTTGAATTGGGAGAATTCATCTCTGTAGAGTACAGTATAAAGAACTGAGGTCATCATGATTTCAAGGAACACAATCAATGAGCCATGAAATTCAAGATATTTAACATAAGAAGCCATAAACTATGACAAATATTTAGCAGGATCATAGCAACAGTGCTACAGCTTTAAACTGATGCATAATCAGTTGTTCACTAGAGAGAAAAGACTGGCTATATTTCAAAAAGATGTGTGTGGATGAATGGATGGATAAAGAGTAAGTTAAAGATATAATAAACCCAAAGGAAATGAGCATAAATAAGTGAAGTATTTGTGTTGGAGGACAGAAGTTATAAAAATATGTTTTTATGATTTCTTTCAGCAAGCCTATGAATTACTCAAAGAGTCCTTTAAAACTCAACAAAATCCCTGCAGTGATTTTAATAAGCAGGCAGCTGAACGATTATATATTATGGGCTGCATTTGTCTAGCAGAGGAGAAAATAAGGGAGGCTTATCAGCTGCTCAGTAAGGTAATACTATCAGCTTGAATAAAGCTCAGTAAGTTATACTATCAGCTTGAATAAAAAGACCATATTTTTATTTGCAAAATGTTTTGGTTTGCAAAATGTTTTGAATTTGAAATATCTCATAGTTGCAGGAATATCATTTTGAATTCATGGTATTTCAGAATTTATTTTTTATTAAGAGCTAGTCTTATAAGTGTCTTATAAGTGTCACAAAGTTGTTCTTTTAATGTTTGCATTAAAATTTATTAATGCAAGTGCCCCCAAGTTCAGTCTATCAACAAAAACTTCATCATGGTTGCTTCGGCAACAAGAAAGCAAAGGTAATGTTATATAGTAGCTCTAAAGCACAGCCTTGGTCTTAAGATTATTTTTCATTATTTCAAGGAAAGCTTTACAAGACATTGGTATGTATAAAATAACCCCAAGGATATGTATAAAATAACCACAATAACCACTGTGTCTTGCATTTTGAACCCATACAGTGTGTGCAGATTCAGATTGCCATTTATGGGTCCCACCACAAGAAAACTAAAAAGATACAAGAGCTGCTAGTTATGATGAATATGTAAGTTTAAATATTTTTAAAGAACTAGAGCTGGAGGAGGAAATGCACAATAGATACCCAGGCTTTGCAGCAGCAGGGCTGGGGAAGCTGTCTGTCTGGGAGACAATTCATGCAGTCCCCTGCCAAGCAAAACTCTTAACATTTCTATTCTAAAAGGGTGCACAGAACTTTCAGTCAATTTGCATGTGTTTGTGTGCATAGAGATAAACACACGTGCATTGCACTCATACTTCTTCTTGTTGTTGTGCCATATCTGTTATCGGACGTTGGCGATCATGTTGGCGATCCTGTTTTTATCAGCAGCCACACGAAAAAGTGCTGCTGAGTTTTGTCCAAACCAGTCCCTTAGATTTTGAAGGCACAATGTTCTTCTTCTGCCTGGACCTCGTTTGCCTTCAATCTTTCCCTGGAGGATTAAATGGAGTATGCCGTATTTTTCTGGGTGTCGCATCACATGCCCGAAATATTCTAATTTTCGTTTTTTAATTGTTTTGATGATTTTCCTTGGCTTTCCCAGGCGGCTTATCACCTCATTTCTGATCTTGTCAATCCAGCTTATATGTAACAGCCGCCTGTAAATCCACATTTCAAATGCACTCATACTATTTGTTAACTACTGTGATCAAACATCACCTCTTTGTGTCCGGATGTATTTTTTGTTAAAGAGCAAATGAAATAGAACAATATAATCTGATTAACTGATTAATTTATTGATATGCGCCCATTAACTGTAACATTTTCTTTGGTTTTTTTCTGTAGGCTTCCTGCTGAACAGAAATTGACCAAATGTTTAAAACAGAATAAAAAAGCAGCACTAATTTGCTCCATACCAGATCTTTAGGTACCAAAGGACTAGGAGACTGGGAAAGACGTGCCTAATATACTGTATGAGATACTGGCATCTAAATTCTTGGATTAAATTTCTGCAACAATTTTAATATTAATTTCCGTTCCTTTTTCTGAAAAATACCCACAAATTAGCAGCAATCTTTGATACTACAGCTACAATATGTGGTAACACTAAGTCCTGTCAACTAGGTTTGGGCTTTTAATAGTTATGCTGATTTCCAGGGGTGGATGGAAAGCAGACGAAAGGATAACTTTTAAAAGTTGCTTATTTTGTCCACAACCTTTATTCTTGTAATGACATTAACTGAATTTTAGAATAATCTCTTTAAATTAGCTAAGAGGCATCCGTGTTACTTTTTCTCCTGGGAAAAAAGTGTTTTCTCTTCCCAATACCATTTCTGGTCACCCGTACATTCCAATTAAGCCACTATCAAAAAAGACTGAAATAGGGACAGATCATATAAATTGTGTTGTTGCCCCCTTCATTTTTCATCCAACCCCATCTCAGCCTCTCCACAGACACCCCACTGAGTCATTTTTCCAAGCATATTGATGACCTATTTTTTAATAATCTGTTGAAAGTTTCCTCTGTCCTGGCCTCTAAAACGGTGGTGCCGATTCCTTTCTTCTGTTTGCTTGGGTAGAGAAGCAGCCTGAGAGAGGAAAGCCTCTCCCCCCCCCCAGTTCAAAATAGGAGAAATGGAAAGAGGATTACAAAAACTACATTTAAAGGTATTTCTGAAAATGTATTTTATAGTATATAAAAAGGGAAATGTATCAATTCAGAACTTGTGATGCTTTCTAGATTCAAATACAAAGTAGGTGATTAGAAATTGTAGAGAAGTATGTGATACAACACAGGTTTGCTTCTTGCCCAAATCGTCCTCCAGAAGTTCAGTTAGTGGTTCATGGTTTGGCATACAATCAGTCTCTCTTTCAGAGACTCATTTCTAGTTTCTGTATTGGGTATGTAAGACTCCATCTCCATTTTTCATCATCCTAACCTATGTGGCTCCAGGGATGCCCTGACTTCCATTACAATGGGAATGATGTTCTCTTGTTCTCTTTCTTTCCCGATTTGTCTTGAACTAAACAGTTTTCGCAGGTGTTAATTCAGTAACTTTTTTCATTATGGCTACAGTTCTGCTTCTGCAACATCCTCATCCGGACAGCAGTAAAATTCCACAAAGCATATCTCTCCATCTTCGTTCCTTATCATATATTGCAATGAAAGGAAGCCTCGGTTATCTGTCCGAATGGATACCTTGCAAGACAGAGCTAATGCTTTAATTGATGGCTTGAGTAATGATATCTTGTATCTGAAAAAAAGAAAGGCGTAATGTCAAGTATAACAGAGGTATAAGTGGCTGCCACTGTTTGAGTTCAACCCCCCCCTAACCCTATACAAACACTATTATTGGGGATGGGGGTGGGGGTGGAATGTCATCCTTTCTCCTCATGCTTTATTTTCATTCCAAGCGCAATTTGCCCAGCATTTAAAATGAGCCCAGTGTGATTAGCACATTCACCCAACTTCACCCTGGAAGGACACACCTATCTTGTTTTGTGGCTTCCCTGTAAAACAGTGTTTCTCAACTTTAGCAACCTGAAGATGTGTGGACTTCAACTCCCAGAATTCCCCAGCCAGCATGGGGAATGTGTTTGAAATCCCCCAGAAAACCATACTCCCAAACAAAACTGGCCGGACTGACAGCTACTGTATATAAACAGGGAGCAAACCCCACACTCACTCACACTAATGATATCACCTAGTTGGGTAATGAAACGTCTGCAAGCAAACAACCAAGTTCAGAGAGCACTGAGGACTCCATAGATCAATTCTAAGTTGCATATATTCTATTTTTTTTTCAATGCTAAAAAATTATCCAAGATCTCACTGGCCATCTTTGTTAGATTTCTGAGTATCATTTCTGATTTGGGGCATTTAAAAAAATGTTTTGAATCTGCAAGATGACATGAATGGCGTTCAATACCAGAAAACATTGCCAATCCTTCTACAAACATTCCAAATAAGTAATATTGATCACCTTTCTGGTGGGGGACATGTAGTCTAGTGTAAATAAATATTAACAATTGCATGATGCAGATGGTCACTGTAATACCTTGGAGTAAATGTACTGGTGTAACTCACCTGTTTGTTTGTGTTTCATTACAATGAAAGGCTTCAATAAGGTCAGAATCTTTGGGGTAATCCAGATGAGTGTTTCCAGCATTCCCAAAAGTGGATAATCTTAAGAAGAAAAGATGTACCAGACTGAATAACAAAAATAGCAATATTGCATATGTAAACACGGTATATGATAAAATTGAGCAAAGAATTTGTCATTAACACTTTAAATTACTGAAAAATTATGTCTGGCATTAAAGTCTGAAAATACTAAATATTTTTGTCTAACTGTTGCAAAGGGATATTAAGAGAAATGAAGACAATGGCTAGTGATGGACTTCATTTTCATTTTGGGATTAGTGGGATTTAAGGAACATAAGTCATGGGACATGCATTATGCCCATTAAAAAATTAGCAAACAGTAAAAAAAAAGAACTATTTTTCCCTTTTTTAAGTAGCAAGAAGAGTTTGCAGATGTTCAAGGAATCCTGCTCCTGAACCATCCCCACATACAAGTTCATCAATTTTAATAATTTCTGTTTTTAATCAGTTCTTCTACTAATATTAGAAAACAAATTGTAGAGCTTTCTACGTCCTCTGAAGGTCTCAAAAGCATTAATGTCTGCGACACCAGTTGCAAAAAGGTTGCTCATGGCTGATTTACTCTGACTTGGCAGCTCTCCAAAATCTCAAGCTATAGCTTTGCTACTGGCTAATTAGAGGTCCTTATCAGCTATAATTTTCCACATACATAATTGGGGGAAAAAGCCTGGGAATTCAATAGGACTTAACTTTTAGATAAGTGAAGGACTGCTGTGCTTGAGCACAATCAAGATTGAATTTTAAATATGCAAACGTTTATTCAGCTTTACTTCCCATATATAAATTTTAGGCCATATGTTTGCACTAGCCTCAGTATTACAGTTACCATGTTTTGAAGTATGATTACCAGACTAGGAGAATTATTTCTACTACCTGAAATAAGGTTTGTCTGGAGACATTGTAATCTGCAGCACTTCACTGGTCATATCTAGTTCGGAAAATGCCTCTCTCAGTCCCTCGGACTGCAGAATAATTTTATTTACAACATTAGTACTGCAGAAGTCAAAATCGAGAATCTCTTCAGGCTCCTGAGTCTTGATTTTACATACAGTCACCACCCCTCCTTCCTCCAGGTAGAGTGTTAGAGGGTAGCCATATCCCTGATAACACATCCGAAGGGCTGTTTGAGTTCCTGAAATGGGGAAAAAAAACCTATTACAATATTGTAATTCTAACTATGCCTATTCAGTAGAGCTGGGCAGCGCTTTGGACTTAAATTAAAAAAAAAGGTTTTGAGTGGAAAGTGGTACTAACAGAACTTCTGAAAGCAGCTGCATTTCTTGTAAGGACTATGTCGTTACTTTTTGCAACTGCAGCATGATCCTGGAAAAATATGCAATTAAGGGCTTGCAAACAGCTGCACGAGTGGGCATCACATCCTCCAAAGCACCTTTATGCCTTTGACTGTGAAGAACCACATAACAGTCTTTGTGTGTGTGTGTGTGTTTGTGTGCACACGCCTTCAAATCACTGACTATTATTGACTGCCTAGACAAGTCTTTGTAGTTTTGTTTGCAAAGTTTTTCAGAACTGGCTTGCCACTACTTACTTCCTATGGCTGAGAAAGAGTGACTGGCCCAAAATAACTTTGTTGGCTTCATGTCTAAGGCAAGACTAGAACTCAGGGTTTTTGGCTTGATGGTTATCACACTTCTACACCAGACTGGCTCTCATGGTCATATTCAGCTGGTTGTAAACCTCACTGAACATAATGGTATTTTCTTTTCCATAAACGTGCATGAAATGCACTGCAAAAATGATTGCGTTCCCTCCTGATCAATCCATCAGTAGGACTTTGGAAGTAGATATTACGCATTTTGATATGGACAAATATGGGGCATTTCTAATTCAATCCACAATTCATCTTACAGCACAGGATAATTTTCATACAATAAGAAACAAGTTGGCATCATTCAATAAAGTAAACTCAAGCAATACCTGGCAAAGAATTTGTTCCAAAGATGGTCAAACAGTCCAAAAGCACAGACAGATTGATTCTGAACATCAAAGATTCTTCCCGCACAACAAATTCTTGGAAAATTCCAGCCTGTATATTAACAAATCCAGAAACTTGAAGGCCAAGTAATAGAAAAATGGCACTCTTACTTTCAAACTGCAATCCAGTGGTGTAACAAGAGAATGATCAAGCAGAAGAGAGTGTTTTACAAAACAACACATGGAACTGATATATAATCAGCAACAGACACAAGGGCAAGGCTGTGATGATTAAAGAAAGTGTAGCTACAAACCCTGCTACAAAGTCATACACAGCAGGGCCACAACAACCATTTCTTTATTTTCAAAATACCGTCTCTTGCATACAGAAAAAACATATTTTAAATTACAATATGTTATTAAATGTGTATCAAGAAGTACTGCTGGAATAACAGCATTACAGACTCAACCACCTCAGAGTGGCTTAAATAGTTCCCTGTGCTGGAAATAAGATATGCTGAGAAATTACAGGAAGATTGTTTTCATTATTAGAATATGTCATTTCTTTTGGAAGTCTTATTGGATGTCATACACGTTCATTTAATTTCTTTAGTCAAACTAAAGGTCCTCATAAGTCTGAAAAGAAAAGAAATCCTGTGGTCTAACCTGAATAAAAGCATTGGCTTGCAAAGACTTTGCATTTTCCACCGTGAATTTGAGTCCATTTGATGAAGCGAAGCAAGTAGTGTGGTCTTTGAAATGAATGGCTTTCAAAATATTGGAGAGGTTTCTAACATTATCAAGAGTTGCTTCCAGAACATTCTGCTCTTTGCATGTTTCAGGTTGGGTTGAGAAGGGCATGGCGCCAATGCCCTCGGAAAGCCTTCCTTGGAGAGCACAAAGAAGGAATTTGGAAATCCTGAAAGAAAAACCGGTAAAATCCAAACACAGTTACCTGAAACAGACAAGACTTGATGCAGCATAATTGTTTTTAAGCAGCAATTATACTATTTTAACATTCTTTTTTCCCAGGCACAATAACAATGTAGCTTTTCAAGAATCTTTTTCTTCAGTAATAAATTAGACAACTCCCTTCATCACCTACATCATATACAGCAGGGGTAGTCAACCTTGGCTCTTTTATGACTCGTGGACTTCAACTCCCAGAATTCCTGAGCCAGCATGGCTGGCTCAGGAATTCTGGGAGTTGAAGTCCACGAGTCATAAAAGAGCCAAGGTTGACTACCCCTGATATACAGTATCTATCTGTCTGTCTGTCTATCTATCTATCGAAAGAGAGGGAGACACGACACGACACGCACACACGCACACACACAAACACAAACACACACGGTATATATGAGATGTTTATGAGATAACCTGTCCGGCAATGCCACGAATTCCTTCAGACACCCCACTGGGAGAAGAAAGCGGTTTAACTGCTTTACGACATGCTGTAATGAGCATCTCTATGACCTGCCGAAGCGGCTCATGGAGAGGCAGAATGGAACTTCCGGTCCTGGCTAATCTCTCTATGACAGTGTTTCTCAACCTTGACAATTTTAAGGCTTGTGGACTTCAAGCATTGCTGGCTGTGGAATTCTGGGAGTTGAAGTCCACATGCTTTAAAATTGTCAAGGTTGAGAAACACTGCTCTATGATCTGATATCTCTATGGTTTAGCTACCCTCGTATCCATAGCCGAATTAGGAGCGTTTTACAAAGCCAAAAAAGAGGAGCAAGGCACAGGAAACCAAAGCAATTAAAAGCAGGAGATATGAGACTATCTGAATAACGTTTAGTTTATAGCAACGTCATTCACGAAAGGTGTTCACACCTCACACATCCTCACTTCTCCCACGCCTCTTGGGGGTTTCTCAGGAGTCTGAAATCAAAATTTGTTTCCAGATACTTACAGTACTTGGAAATATTTAAAACAATGTCCTCATTACAAATACTGCATAGAACCTTTCATGGAAAGCATTTATGTTATGGGTTTAATTTTTTTACCTGGTTCAATAAATAGTGTGCGAATGCATTTTTTAGTTTTAACACAGTATGAGTAACGCCCATTAAAAATTTGAGGGGAAGGATTCCTTGGGTGTTTGTTGATGTTACATAGAATTTTAGGTTTTATTTTAATACAGGTATTATCATTTTAGCATGACTATATGCCTCTTGAAGATGAAACCATGTTTTTCCTTTGGAGTTATTTTCTATGTATTTTATTGTTTGATTTGTTGCTTTCTGCTGCAACGAATATCAAATGTATGTATCATTTGTTTCTATATTCTGTATAAAGAGTTGTTTCCCCTTAATAAATGCCTTTCACTTTGCCTGAGCCGTTTTGCAAAGGTATTGAGTGTTTCTCCCTCAAATTCAGGGAGGGATTTTTCCAGCTCCAGACCAACTCAGGTGCCTAAGTTTTATGGGCAACAATTAGAAGCGTTACCAGTTCAAAAACCTGATGCAGTTATTTCGTTTTTTTGCGCCTTAATCCTGCAGAATACATGCACAACGAACACCTTCTTTTCCTCCGTTTTAATTTGATTCTTAGATTGTTCAGTACAGGTTTGTTTTCTCTTAACTATATAGCTCTTTTTATACAATAAATTAGATTTTTTTAACCATATAGTTTTTTTTATATATAATGGACAGTTATATTACTATTTATACAATTATACAATACAACCTGAAATCATTCATTTAAACAAATATTAATTGTGATGGTTTTAAAGTTTAATAAAGTTTTTTTAAAATAAAATTAAAACACGGGTTAAGCCTGTTGTAATATTAAGTTTATTAGGTACTCAATAAACACAATACCTTCTACGAAAGTCTTTACGGTACAGGAGAACATCCACCTTCCCATCATTCTCAGCGCGCCGGCGTGAAAACTCTATAATTCTTTTAGCTGCTCCTGAAGATCCTAGAGCGGTCGAAAGGGAGGTAATCTGGGAGAAGACAAATGGCGGCAACCAAGAGGCGGCGTGGAGCCGAAAAGGCAACCGCAGCCGGGCCGAAGAAAAAACGTGCGAAGGGAGCTTTGGAAGGGAAGGAGAGCGAGGAGGCGGAGAAAGGTCCGTCCTCCGTGGAAGGCCAGGATGAGTTCCACATACCTCCTCCTGTCTCGCAGGTGTGGATGCCACGGAGGGGAGGGGGTGTTGATGCCTCTGAGCCCTTTTCTTTCTGAGGTCGAACCCAAGTCTTTCTTGTCCGGGTAATGCCGCTGTACCTCTGAGCATGTGCAAAGTCTCTCTGGGAATGTATAACGGGGGTGCCTGCCTTTCCCTCCTCCAAAATTTTTTAATAGATGTTGAATAATATTTAAACGAGTTTGAGCTTTGAATGAGTTTTATCAAGGCTGCATCTTTGGAAGTGAGCTGAGGGCGCCTTGTGGGTGAGCTGTAACGTGAGAAACTGGAAGGTGCTTTCCTTCGAGTTGATGATATCATAGCTGGGTAATGAAAAACTTTAATGCTTCTGTATAATAATAATAATAATAATAATAATAAT